GGCCTCAATTCTCAAGTCCATCTACCACCTCCGTCTCAGCCCCAACCCACCCAAGCGTCTCCGCCGTGTCGAATTCATCTGGGTCTGCAAAGACACCTCATCCTTTGAATGGTTCCAGACCCTCCTCTCATCGCTCGAAGCGCAGTCCCTCGGCGGCGCAGATGGCGACCAATTCCTGCGCATCCACACTTACCTCACCCAGAAGATGGACGTCAACACTGCCCAAAACATTGTTCTCAACTCTGTAGGCACCGACAAGGATCCCCTCACAGAACTCAAGTCGCGCACCAACTTCGGTCGTCCCGACTTCCAACGCCTGTTCTGCGGTATGCGCGATGGTATCCTGGACCGCACTTACATGAACGGTCTGGAAAGCACGCTACGCACAGAGGTTGGTGTCTACTTCTGCGGTCCTAACGTTGCGGCGCGCGACATCAAGAAGGCGTGTAAGCAGGCGGCATGCCAGGAGGTCAACTTCAAGTTCTGGAAGGAGCATTTCTAGATCACTCTGTTCAAGAACGTGTATTTTGTATGCGAGGTTGAATGTCAAGGCGTATATTAGGTTGATGTGTATTTGTTACGATTAGCCTTCAGAGTAGTAACCCAAGGGTACACTCCATTTTCATGTGTTCTTACTACAATATGCGGATTATGCAAAGGAAAGAAAGAAAGAAACTAGACTTTTAAAAACCTCTATCATGTCTCATCCTCCTTTCACGCACGCGTTCGATATCTGGTGCGTTGGTGATACTTGCTCGTACCTAGGTAGACTCGATCACACGAACCAACACACCAAGCAAGACAAGCCTTCACCAAGCACGTCCAACCTCCAACACAACCCACCATCGAACCACCCTCACTCCACTCAAGTACCCTACTCAATCTCACCTCTAACAATCATGCACCACGCCTCTATTCGCCTCATGTCTGTCCCTTGCAGCCTCGCTTCGGTACAACGAGCTTCCGAACCATGCGCATGGTGAAACAAGACCTCTTAGCACCACCATAGTAATCCCACCTCTCCACTCTGAAAATCTCGGCAGCTATAACAAAGGATCAAAGCTGTGATGTTAGAGAATGAAGGTGGTGCGATGATGGGTCGATACATTCGCCGATGGGATTGGCAAGGAGAGTGTAGGTGTGTAGGTGTAAGGCCGCCTGCCTGCCTTACCCCGAATTCCTACGCGCGCGCGACAACTCTTCCGTCTTCCTTCAAGAACAATTCTCTGCCACTGCTTCTCTTTCTTCATGCATGTATTATCGTTGTGCGTGTACCTCGATATACATAGCAACTGCCAGCGCGATGCGCGTCGTCAAGCCGCCAGTCGCCACATATTGCGGCGCAGTCATGCAGCAAAGACGGACCGGAGACCGCGGGGATGGAAATAGACGGGAAGTCTGATGTGCATGCGGCGTGGGCGGTTCTATAGGCTGATATGGTTCTGCAATTTGCGATGATGTTCGTCTTCGGGATTGGAGAAGACGGGGGTGTTTACAGGTGGTGTTCGCGATTTCCATGCGATGACGAGGTACGCGCCCTAGTTCCCTCTACAAACATCTTCCTCTCCGAGCGACACCTCAGCCAGCAGAGCAAACGAGCTAAGTCATCTGACCACTACTTCTGTCTGCGCCAACGTGACATATGAATCCTTTCCTCGTACACCGTACCTGCGTGACAACCCAACCGCCGCATCTAGACCCCATGCAGTCGGTGAAGCCGCCGAGCCAACACTCCCATCTTGTGTCCAAAATCGGATCACGAGCCGAGGCTACACAAACGCTATTCATGGTTTACGCATGTTTGTTCTCCACTCAACACCACGTCTCCAACTATCGTGAAATCCGACTTCTCAGTACTACTAGTCTCGGAGGCTCGGTGTAGGTTACACTACCAGAAGCAGTATAGCTGCAGCCACCTACCTCCAACCCCACCACTTAGCTTCGCGGCGGAAACGTAGAAGGGGTCCAACTGCATCGCGGAACTGCCAGACTGGGAAGCCGATACTTGCGCGTACCTGCCCCCTTCTTGCGGACTTGTCTGCCCTCCCATTCGTGGAAAGACTGGTGATGCGCGACTATGTGGGGTTCTTCCTCCAACTTGCCATGGCGGGGCGGCGTGACGTTCTCATGAATGGAAGTATTATTCACGGGCGCGGTTTTGCGTGGTTGCCCCGCACCAATTGCGAAGGAGCGGAAGGGTAAAGTCTGGGTTATAGTAATGGATTAGGTACATGCTGGCAAAGCACCAAGCGGTAAAGGCGTACGCTTGCAGACAGGCAGAAAAGAAGGGCCGCGGGAGTAAGTAAAGGTGGCCAGGTGATCTTTATTGACGCGGTTGTCCCCCCCAGTTTTTTGTTTACCTACCCTTTCTACTATCGGACCTTTCTTGCATCATCCCCATCCTTGCGATTGCATACCTTTAAACGTTCCTTTTTCGTGCCTTTGGTTCCATGGCTTCTCTTCCCCTCTTCACTAGCTGGGCGTCGGAGATTAAGCAATCACTCAACATCAAAGAAGAGACGACCAAGATGAACGGCACACATACTGAGGCTGCTGCTGCTGCGCCGGTGACGAACGGTGTTAGCAAGGCTAATGGCAACGGCACGGATGTTCAGTTCTCGTCAAAGGCTAATATCGGTGTTTACACCAACCCCGCGCATGATCTCTGGGTCGCGGAGGCGGAACCCAGTCTGGAGGTTGTGCAGAGAGGAGGAGATTTGAAGCCAGGCGAGGTTCTTATCAATGTTAAGAGCACGGGAATCTGTGGGAGTGATATTCACTTCTGGCATGCTGTACGTTTTGCTCCTCTGAATCCCCAATACAAAACTCCGCAGACATCGAGAGAGGAGAACAGTATGCTAACAATGCCGTTTCCAGGGCTGCATCGGACCCATGATCGTAGAAGACACACACGTCCTCGGCCACGAATCCGCCGGCACAATCATGGCCTGCCACGAATCCGTCACGCACCTCAAGCCCGGCGACCGCGTAGCCATCGAACCCAACATTATCTGCGGCGAATGCGAGCCCTGCCTCACAGGCCGCTACAACGGATGCGAGCGCGTCCAATTCCTGTCCACACCACCCGTCACCGGCCTACTCCGCCGCTACCTCAAGCACCCAGCCATGTGGTGCCACAAGTTGCCCGACAGCATGACCTTCGAAGACGGCGCCATGCTGGAGCCTCTTTCCGTTGCTCTTGCTGGCATGGACCGCGCGAACATCCGCCTGGGTGACCCCACCATCGTCTGCGGCGCCGGCCCCATCGGCCTCGTCACACTTCTCTGCTGTCAAGCGGCTGGCGCGACCCCCCTCGTAATCACCGACATCGACCAAGGCCGTCTCGACTTCGCCAAAACCCTCGTTCCGGGCGTCCTCACCCACAAAGTCGAATTCAGCCACTCAGCCACGGACTTCCAATCCGCCATCCTCAAACTGACCGACGGCGTCGAGCCCAGCCACGCCATGGAATGCACCGGCGTCGAATCCTCCATCTGCGCCGCCATCCAAACCGTCAAGTTCGGCGGCAAAGTCTTCGTCATCGGCGTCGGCAAGAACGAGATGAAGATTCCTTTCATGAGACTGAGTACCCGCGAGGTGGATCTGCAGTTCCAGTACCGCTACTGCAATACTTGGCCCAAGGCTATCCGGTTGTATAAGAGCGGTGTGATTGATTTGAGCAAGCTGGTTACGCATAGGTATAAGCTTGAGGATGCGGTTGAGGCGTTTAAGACGGCGGCGGATCCCAAGACGGGGTGTATTAAGGTGCAGATTCAGAGTTTGGATTAGGCGTGGGTGGGGGATTTGAGTGGTGGGATGTTTCTTTATGATGTATATGACGATGACGATGATGAGTATGAAGGGCGGTGGTTGGTGTGAGGGTGCATTCAGCATTTACATCTTGGCGTTTTTCGGGGAGAGTTCGTCCGGTTGACGATATCTAGCAGAAATGAGATTATGACTCTATGCATCTCCTGTGCCTATATGTGCTGCTCAGCTCAGCTCCTATGCGGTCTGATTGTACGTTCACATACTGCTTTCACCATATGCATCGCTCCATCCATGAAAACTCGCAACGATCCCTCACTCGGGCCCCTCTTCACCTGACAGCAGCTGCTTATCCGGCTCGACCACTTTAGATTGATATGGGCCGATCGATATGTCTGCGGATCGTTCTACGTTCGTTACGAGAGACGTTTATGCCGGCGTACTCCATGGGTGTTTTGGTAACCACAAAGTTGCATTCATCATTCGGCACCGAAGCAACAGAGGAGCATAGAGCCGTAGACATGGATCTGTAGACAGAGAAGTCAGTCTTGTGATGACCCAGAAGGAGAGATATGAGGTAAGAGAGTGCTTACATGCTGCTACCATGGAAAGCCGTATTCCTCCGCTAAGGAGACTACATTTGGCGCGTGTACCTTGTCCCAATGTCTATAGAGTTGCTCGCGCTTTACATTACGGATGCGCAGTGGTCATGACTGCATCAAGACAACGAAGTCGCTGAAGCGACAGTTCGACGTGTGTTCCGACGAGGCTGGCGCGCCATCGTGGGCAGATTGGTGCGTTCAGTTGGCGGGCGATGATGACGACGGGACCTCGACGCGTTGTCGCACAGACCAATATCGTCCAACCCACGCGTTCCTCCTACACCCCAATCGCTTCTTGCATCTCCTTCTCGCATTCACAACACATGTATGAGTTTCCGCGCACGAATTGGTTCCCGGTCAGTCTACAATCTGCAAGGTTCTGCATGGCCCTGCAAGTCAGACACAAGCTTTATCGCATTAGCAGTGGCCAATGAACCACAACAAGCTATTTATCCTACTCGTCCCAGCATCTCCTGCGCAGGAAAGTCCTGCAGGTCGCGCGCAGGTCGCTCGTGGCTCTGCATGTGCTTACTGTCAGCACTTTATGGCCGCGATGCTACATGATAAGTTCACTTCGCCTAACGCGCTTCTTCGAAATGATCGTTCTACCTTCTCTTCTCGACCCTTAACATGCTGCTCCAAAGCGTTTTCTTGCTATGCTTCACTATATCAACACAGGCTCGTACACATCTCGGACGTACTGCGCAGGCGATTGAAGCAAGACAACTCAGCAATGAGACAACGTACGATTTCATTATTGCTGGTGGTGGCATTGCGGGGCTCACGGTTGCAGACCGTTTGACGGAGAACCCAAATGGTACATCACTCGCATGCTCGAAAGGCTGAAAATTAATCATGAGCAATAGTCACTGTACTAGTCATCGAGTATGGTCCGTTTGACCAGAGAGAAGATGGTGTCATGATACCTGGCGCCTATTTCCCGGTGCCTTACCTCTGGCTGCCCTTGATGAGTACGCCACAAACCGCGCTTGGTGGTATATCCTATGGTGTGCCATGTGGCAGGGTGGTGGGCGGCGGGTCTGTTGTGAACGCCATGTTCTTCCATCGATCGGATGCAGAGCTATACAACGCCTGGGAAGAACTGGGTGCGACTGGCTGGGGTTGGGCTGATCTGTTTCCGTACTTCAAGAAGGTATGGGTTACTCTCGCTTTGTGAACCGTATGCTGATGAGGCGGAGAGTGAGACGTTTACAGCACCGGACGCGGACTATGCAGCTAGTCACAACATTACCTGGGATGTTTCCGTACATGGCTTTGAGGGCCCAGTACAGGCTAGCCACGCTCCTTATGACTACCCGGGTAGTGGTCAGTCCTCATCACGTCAGTTGCAATATATAGAAGCTTACCATCAGTAAAGCCAATATGTACAATGGAGCCCTGAGGCTAGGTATCCAGCCAGCCCTGGATCCCAACAATGGCCGCGCTCAAGGCATATTCCGTCTCCTTCGCTCCGTTGATCCCAAAACGCAGACGCGTTCTTCAGCTCGAATCAATCGCTATGATAGGGATGCGGCGAGGCCAAACTATCATATCCTCTCGAATACGGCGGTATCGCGCGTTCTGTTCGAGAATGTCACCGCTGTAGGCGTGGAGTATATTGGTTCGACCAGTGGCGAGAAGCACACTGTCCGAGCGAGCAAAGAAGTCATCATAGCTGCTGGAAGCGTTCATACACCGCAGATCCTGCAACTTTCTGGGATTGGCGACGCTGCTCATCTGAAGAGCTTGGGTATTGATACTGTTTCAGGTCTTCCTGGTGTCGGTCGAAATTTGCAGGATCATCTGGTTCTGAAAGTGTATTACAACTGTACGCGACTGAACTCCATACTTGTCATTTATGGGTCGGCTGATTGATTCAGATACATCTAATCACTTCCCGAATGGCGGTTCATTGCAGTCCAACGCTACGTACGCCACAGAACAACGCGCTTTCTACGACGCTGGAAAAGCAAGCGCATTCGACCTCACTGGTACAACTGGCAATCTCATGATCCAGCTACCGCTGTCAAACTGGACGAATGACTCCGCATCTATCATATCTCGAGCATCCTCACTCTCACCGACCGATGTACTTGGAAAAGATACCGACCCATCAGTTCTCGCTGGCTACGAAAGACAGCGTGCCATCATCCTCAAGGACATCAACGTAGAGGCCGTGGGCGGTCTATCATGGAACACCGGCCCAGAAACAAGCATCTACATGACCCGCCCTCTCAGCCGTGGTTCAATCACCATAAACTCAACCAACATCTTCGATGCTCCACTCATCGATTACGGCGCGCTGACAGACCCAACCGACCTTGATATTCTCTACGCAATCTACATGAAGAACCGCGAACTAATGGCAACACCTGATGTTGCCATTCTCGGTCCCATAGAGACAGCACCCGCACCGGGCATCAGCAATGAGCGAGATATCAAGGAGAAGATCAAAGTGGCTTTGCAGCCAAGTAACGCGCATCAGTGCTGCACTGCTGCTATGATGCCAAGAGAAGATGGCGGGGTCGTCGACCGGCAGAACAGAGTCTATGGCACATTCGGACTGAGCGTGGTGGATGCGAGTACGTGGCCGCTTGTTGCTGGTGGTGGGCCGCAGGCTAGTGTTTATGCTGGAGCTGAGAAGGTGAGGTTATGATCGAGGAAAGCTGGTAATCATATATACCTAGGTACTAGCGATGCGTAGGCCGCGGATATGATCAAGAAGCGTCACGGTTTGCTTTGAGGTACATCTGTTGATGTCCTTGGCGTTCGTAAGCCGCGGCGTGGACATGGAGAAGTTGTCGGGGTTTGCGGAGTTATCGCTTTTGACTATCTGTTAGGCGTTCGTTCCATCTCACGTGTAGTCTACATTCAATGCATAGTACTCTGAGGCAGCATCGATGTGTTTATGCGTGGTTACTAAATGGGTTCTCGCATGAGGAGCTATATATACTTGAACGTATGGGGAGCAGTCCTTTACTTCATCAATAATCGATTCGCACTCGAGATGGATACTTCAAAGCTTTTCAATGTTGAAGGCATGATTGCTGTGGTTACAGGCGGAGGAACAGGTATCCTTCTTATCCTCATGTCATCTGAAGACCAGCACCGCTCCTAACACTATCCCCCAGGAATCGGCCTCATGATAGCTTACGCCCTCGCCTCCGCCGGCGCATCCAAAGTATACATCCTCGGCCGCCGCGAAGATAAACTATCCACCGCAGCCTCTCAACACGAAAACATCGTCCCACTCCAACGCGACATTACATCCAAAGCATCCCTGCAAGCCGCCGTAGACTTCATCACCCAAGACACAGGCTACATCAACCTCCTGGTCGCAAACTCCGGTATCTACGGCCCACCATCAAGTTTCGTGCCCGGTTCAAGCGTCAAAGAGCTGCGAAAATCCATGTTCGAGAACACATCTATGGAAGAATTCACGCAGACCTTCCACGTCAACACCACCGCGACGTATTTCACCATGCTGGCTTTCCTTGAACTACTGGATGCAGGGGATAAGGATGCCACAGCCGGTGGGTTTGGTAAGCCACTGAAAGAAGGTAGCAAAGTACCAAGTATCCAGTCCCAAGTCATCATCACATCCAGCGTAGGCGCCTTCCTGCGTGAGTGGCAATGCGCGCCAGCATACGCGGGGAGTAAAGCAGCAATCATGCATCTGGTTAAACACACCAGTACCGGGCTTGCGCCGCATGGTATCAGAGTCAATGCTCTAGCACCTGGATGTTCGTCTCCCCCTCCCCACAAACCTACCATTCCGTGGCTAACAGCATGTCAGTCTTCCCATCTGAGATGGCCAACGCAGTTATCCAAGGCAGAGACCCCAGTACAGAGAGCGTCGACGATCCGAACTTCATTCCAGCACGAAGGTTTGGCGGAGAGGAGGAGATGGGTGGGACGGTGTTGTATCTTGCGAGTCGGACGGGAAGCTTTTGCAATGGGTTGGTGCTTGTTAATGATGGGGGGAGGTTGGGTGTTACGACGAGCAGTTATTGAAGATGATGAGGGTAAGGGGTATGTATGAGCAGCTGCTATGGAAATATGAAGGCAAGTCGTATCTTCTCTTGTTCCCAGCCCTGAACGAGAGTAATCGCCACGTCGCTGCTTGTGTGCTGTGATTATGAAATCACAGACGCTGAACATCCACCGCCTGATGCACGTCGTTGGCGATACCTCGCTGATCATGCCGAGCAGCGCAAGCACCTTTTCCGACCAAACAGATGTTTAATGTCCGACCGGCTAGCAGCAGCTGTAGGACGAAGAAAGACAAGGCTGAGCGAGAGAGCCTTCACCCCAGCGTTCCTCAGCGGCAAGCGCTATGACAGGTGGACGACGACCCACCATCTACCTGTCCACCGCCATGCCCAACGCCCAAACCAGCCTTTCACAAAATCCTTCGATACCACAAACCCTCCTTCTAGCTCCCAACCCATCACCTCTGTATCCCCCACCACACCCGGCACCACTCCCCCATCCACACGCATCACACCGCCCCTCGGCCCCTTATCCCCTTCCACCACCACCCTCCTACAACACACATGCAACGCTCTTGGGATAATCCCCGTAGACGCGCCGTACAGAAGTGGAGCCTCATACTACGCATCCAGTCCTGCATGGTCTGCTGTGCGACACCTGCTGACCGGCTTTGTGCGTGTGTGACGGGCTGTCCTGTGTAACGCGAGCAGGGAGGATATGCCTGCACCTGCCCTGCGGCAGGGTCCAGATGCAGCCGATACCCGTGTTCTGAAACGAAGCGTTTGTTTACTGCGTTTGGTTGTGTGGGTTGGGGGCGGTGTGTAGCCTGCGATGTGTGTATGTGGGGAGACGGAGGAGGTGAGAAAGCGGTATGTGGAAGAGAGATTGCTGGTTGGGGGGTGTCGTTACGAGGTGGTGTGGGTCTGTTTCCGGGGTTTTGCAGCGAGTGTTTGGGGAGAAGTAACATGCGATCAGGCGTGAGCTGGAGTGTCTGCAAGTCAGGCAGGGGTGCACTGTCGAAGTGTGGTTGCGCAGCTCAAGGTAAACTCTTTGGAGAAGCAAGAACGTGCATGTCTTTTTTGGAACAACGTGAGAGTGGTGAGCAACGCGCGTCAGGTGGTGACAGTACCTTGCTTCACTCTGCAGGTGGAACCGTGGGGTTGAAGCTCGTTACGATTATCATTATTCGCTCATGACACCTTTTATGCTAATCAGTACAAAGTATCCGGTACATGACCTCCTATGTTTCCGTGGTATCGCATGCGCAGCAACCTTATACACACTAAGCTTGCGACATGTGCTTTTCCCAATTTGAGCGAGTGTGAACGTGATAAGAATGAGGGGTGTGTTTAAGGAGCGGCCCTGGCGTTTTGTCTTGATGAGAAGACGTGGTAGTGATACTGATGTACAACAATAGACATTAGCCGCCCAAGCAGAAAACAATCGTAAAGTTTTCGTAGCGTAGCAATGATGCTGAAAGCAATGCAGTGTAGGACATCGAGACGAATACATAGCGTTACAATGCCGTGTTGAATAAGCAGAAAGGATACATGGTTTGATGAACGCCAACCGGAAATGGCTCACCGGTTGCTGAGGACAATGCGAAAGCGTAACGTGAACTGGGCCGAGAGCCATGCTCATGATGATGACAGAGTGCTCGACGAGCCGATTGCTGAAACTAAGAGGCAGAAAGGGAACAGCATGCTGGCTGAAGCTTCCCGTCCAAGGATGCAGCCATGTGAGATGTTGTACATTGGCATAATATATGGCTACTAGGTGCCCCACGATGGTCGAGAAAGGAAGGGACTACGCGATAGTGACGAGATAGGAAGAGTGATGCCGGCAAGCCGTGATGCTGGAAAGGGATCTCAGTAAGTGCTGTTGAGGTTTCCCATAGAAGTGCGGTGGAGCTGCACAGGCTGCATATTCCGGTTCTGACATGACTCGCGATGCAAGCTGCGATTTCCTGGGGAGTTCCGTGTTTCGCTGTGGCTGAGAGGTGTGTAGCGATGACCACTGACCAGTGTACAATCGCTCGATGAGTCGCCACTTAGCGAGTTCCGCTTTGACGACGAGCCAGGGCTGTAGCTGTATAGATTCGTCTGTGAGGCAGGACGTGTCATTGGGCGTGTTTCACGGACGTAGGAGTAGTTTGTCGCTGGGGCTGGCGCACTCATCCCTTCGAGAAGACCAGAAGTACTGAAGTTTAGCTCTAGCTGAGATGCAGTCGTGGTTGCAGTCGCATCGTCCACGGTCGACGTTGTATTTGGCATGTAGCTCATCCTGCTCTCCGCGTTGTCTGGCATGACCGGGGATATCAGTTGCGTAAAGGCATCTGCAGATGCCGCCCCAGATGCGTTGGCGTGGCTCTCGCTGTCGGCAGTCCACGGTAGTAAAGATTTCGTAAACGAGCCTCTACCGTCCATACCCGAAGTGCCGATAGCCTGTGCCGAGCGGAGACGAGCATCTTGCATCTGGTCTACAACATGACTGCTCTGAGCTGGGCTCGGTTGTGGCATTGGCAGTTGTCTCCTAGGCACACCGGAATCCAGAGGGAGAGGTTGTCGTGGATGGGGCCTCTCAGGGATAGTCAATTGCAGAGAAGACATCCCGTTATTGAGCGGGGATACGTCCGAAGGTGTGGATAGTCGAGCGTTTGTATGAGCGAATTGCAATTCCTGATCAAAGTATGTGCTTCCTTGCTGCAAAGACTTCGCAGTTGGCTGAGTCCAGCGATAAGGATGCGTGTACATGTTTGTGTTTGGCATTGCTGTAGATTGTGGTAGATATGTCGGCGGCTGGTCGAGAGGGTAGGCGTCAACCGGCGATGTGTCTTCCGAATAAGGTAGAGTCCACGCCGAAGAATAGGCCGGCTTCGAATCGAGCTGCGAGTACTGCTGATTTGGCATGGCGCGTGCATAAAGACCGCCATTGCCTCCCGTGGAGTACATCGACATCATGTTATGCGCGTTGGCCATGCCACTGAGGCTGTAAGCCATGCTTCTGTCGTCTAGCACTTTGTGGACGGAATCGGATCCCACCTGGCTGAATGAGTGAATGTGCAAAACGCAAGCAGCTAACGTACTCTGTGAAATTGACAGCCCGCCGGCTCCACTCCGGCCGTTCGACAGTTGACGCATCCAATACCATTTCCGGGATCGCCGCTGCATCGAATCTTCCTCTTGCGGCAACGCGCGCACTGGAGGCAATGTTAGTAAAAGTAGGAACAGCGTTTCTGGAAAATATCGCTAGGAAGGCAGCTAGGAATTGTGTTGATTGTGAACGCTTCGGAACTTTTTGAAGCACATGTTGACATACCGCTACTGCAATGCGTCGTCTCGCTGGCCCGTTTCCCATCATGGGTTCTTCCATACTGGCTCGGTTATGCATACCGCCCACTGGGCCGCCCATGGGATAACCTCGTGGATTTTCTCGCGTATTATGAGCTAACGATAGCGGAGCATTGCGATCGCTGTACATGTAGTTGGGATACGATAGGTTGTGAGGCAAACAGCGTCGCGGACTGCCGTACTCCATGACTGATATACTGACGAATCAACTGAACGTTAGCTATTTCAGTCATCATGACCTGAAGTTGACTTACATCGTACAGGGATACCAACAAGATCGACTGTTGGCGAATTACCAACAGGTATGATTCGGATAGCGTTCGCGGGATGCAACGCCCGAGTCAAGAAAGGGCAGTGGTTGGTGACTGAACCGTGGGCGCTCCTCCAGGGAGAAAGTGTAATGAACCGGTGAGCAGGTCAAACGATGATCGGCTGGCAGGAGTATGTTTATAGCCTAAAGGAGTTCCTTGCGTCGGCGAAGACTGTTATACCGGATAAGAGGATGACGCAAGGCGAACGTGGCTCCAAAGGTTGACTTCGAGCGAAGTATTATGTTTGTAACTCTCTGACCCCCATGGAGACTATCTCATTAGTGGCCCCGGACACCTGCATGCATGGCGCGGTACTGTCACCGCCGATGTACAAGAACCTGGGCCTGCGCTTCCAAGAGAGCACTGGCCAAGCGCCGCGGAGAGAAAGACAGGTGAAACATTGTACTGCCTACACCCTGTGTGAATACTCTTTCTAACAAGCGCCAAAGCCGAATGAATACCCTTGAAGTATGTGATGTGGCCCCCACCTCTTCCTTGATGGGGCCATCTCACAGTCGTGAGGCTTTAGCAGATGCCCAATCGGACAAACACTGATGACCTTTTCCATTACAAAGAAGCCTCGTTATCAGTTGGGCTTGACCTTTCGCAAACGTCGATTGATGTTTGTAACTGACGTGGTGGTACCGCGGATCCGGGATGTAAGGTATGGATTTAACAGTCTTGTTCGATCTGCCCTAGTCCAAGACGAGCACGCTACCTAGGTAGGCTCGCAGGGGTCTCGAAAGCGTTATTGCGCTACACTTGCTAGGAGTGAACTTTCTGTGAGAAATAACAGGCTGCCGGCCGGCAGACACACCTACTGAGAACCCTCGAGTCTGATGGTGTCGCTTGTAGCCTGTATCAGCACGTTTGATTCTAGGAAGAGTCTGTTGTCAGATCAACTAATCGTTTCGAGCATACATGGCTTGCGCTGAAACGTACCTGCAGATGATAGCCAGCCCTCCTTGAAGACCCTTATGATTGGTTGACTGGCTAGCCAATACCGCTGGTCGTATCTACGATCACGTCATTTGCTAGCAATCTGTTCAACCTACAAGTTTGGCCGCTGAGAATGGTCCA